AGATGCCCTACAATATACATATGGCCCGCTGAGAAAGCCCCAATCGTGGCAAACACCAGTTCAGCGCCGCGGATCAGTTTGGTCGTTGCGTCATCACATTCCGTAATCGTGTCAGAACACCTTGTCTGGGACTTCAACACCGCGGCTCAAACGGTTTCGTCATGACTCTCATTTCGTGCCAGCGTACGTTTCCTGGCATTTCAACCATGAGAAGCCTTGAATCTGTGACAGACTTTTATAACGGATGCGCAGGGCGCTCCAGCGAGAGCCACGTTTTGAATTCGACCCTCCCTCCATCCTTTAAGGTGTTGCAGACTTGCAGACGAATGTGCGCGGCGCTAAAGCGAGAGCCACATTTTGAAATCGACCCGCCTTCCATCCTTGAAGCTGTTGCAGACTTTCAGACGGATGCGCGTGGTGCGAAGGCGAGAGCCACATTCTGAAAGTCGACCCGTCCTCCATCCTTGATGCACTCTTTTCAAACCAATGTGCTTGGTGTGAAGGCGCGAGCCACATTTTGAAACGACCCGCCTTCCATCCTTCAAGCAGGTGGAGGCTTTTCATTCGAAAGTGTTGCAATCTGAAGAGGAGGAGGAGGAGGAGGAGGAGGAGGAGGAGGAGGAGGAGGAGGAGGAGGAGGAGGAGAAGGAGGAGGAGGAGGAGGAGGGGGAGGGGGAGGAGGAGGAACATGATCGAGGATCGAAGATCGATGCTTCTGGGGCGGTTTGTCTCTCCAGGGCCCAGACACCTCTGGCCGACCGCGCTCCTCGGCCGTCCCGGCGCTCTTTCCCAGCCTCGGCCTCCGCGGCCCGCGGGGCCCACGGGCCCGAAGGGGGCTCGAGCCGCCGCAGGCCTTGGGAGGTCGGCTCTGGCGGCGGAAGCTCGGCGGACGCCCCCTCGCTCTGGAGGCGCTCGGCGCCACCGCTCGGTGGTTCAAAGATGGGGTCCTGAAGGATGGAGGACGGGATCCCAGGGTGGCTTTACGTTGTTTGAGGCACCTCGTCCTTAGGAGCCCATCCCTCGGGACCCCATCTTTGAACGATCGAACCACCAGATTCGCGTCGAAGTCCTGGCCAGAGCGCGCCTGGGGAGAGGCCCAGAGAGTGGCGGTGTTGGTGCGTGCCTGCTTCCCCAGCCTTCGGATCCTTGATCTCTTCCCTGGGTAGGGGGGCGTGTGGGGGGGGGGGGCGGGCGGGGCCTGCTTCCCAGTCCCGGCTGTTGAAGCTGCCAGAAAATGGCACAGAAAGGGTGCGGCCAGCTTGAGTGAGAGCCGGGATCCACCCGCGGCCAATGGTCCGTCAAGCGCTCGGCCTTTCTGTGGCCAGGTGCGCCAGGCTACCGCATGTATCTCCAGCGCGTGGCCCCCCAGACGCTGCACACGTGAGTCCATCCGTGTGTGTGTGTGTGTGTCTGTGTCTCCCACCCGTGTGTCGACTGGTCATTCCCAGAGGAGGGGGAACGAGGCCGAACGCTCGAGGGCGACATCGTGCTGCAAGAGGAGGTGTGCGCTTGACTCAGGCTACGCCTTGCCCCCAAGCATGCTGTGCAAAGCAAGTGATTTGAGGGCTACCCGTGCCCATGGTTGGTGCGGTGCTGGCGGTAGTGTCATTATCGCTCCGCCCGGTTGTTTTTCCCCTCTACTTTCTTCCTTGCGCGCCACTGCATGTCCTTGCTGGAGCCTTTTTGCGTCGCTGCGACATGGCCGCCCAGTGTTGTGGGCTTTTTTTTGCGGCCTACAGTTGCCTCGTGGCGTGTCCCACGAAACTGTTGGTGGGCCTTGGTGTAATTGTCTCTTGTCGCCTCAGGCGGGGGGGACTTTTGGTTGCCTGGCTGGCCTGTACCCAGGGGAAGTCTTCTTGGTACTCGGCCGTGTCTTGCCTTGCCTTCACCACCCATGTTTTTGTCCTAGCTACTGGATTCTTGCGCTCCGATCGGGTGTTGTAGAGCTTTTTACCGTCGGTGTTTTGGACCTGGAGGCGGCTTTAACCGCCTCGTTGCATGCGCCCCAGTACGGGGTGTGGGCCGTCGTGGCCGCAGCCCACCCCTCTTTTAGGCGTGCTCCCCAGGCTTCGTCCTGGGTTTGCTCGCTTCAGCCTTTTGCTGCGCCATCCTGCCCTCTTTTGGCCAGTTTCTGTACCCCCTTACCGCCTCAGGCGGCCAGGCTTTTGGCTGCCTGGCGGTTTGTCTCTCCGGGGTTTCTCGGGTGGGCGGTGCCCTTAACCACTCGTGTTGCTGGGCATTGGTGTTCTTGCGCCACCAGGGGTGCGCGTGGCAGTTTCCATGGGCTCCGCTCATGGTCAGCGCTTTTGTCCGTCTGGCAGCTAGTCTGGCGGCGGCCTTACGACCTTGATGCTTGTGCCTTGGCATGGCGTGCGGATTACACGACCGCGGCCTGTTAAACATTTGCCTCCTGCATCGCACCTGGGGTGTGCGTGCGCCCTGGGGGCTGCAGTTTGCTTCCCCTGCTGGCTTTAGCTGTATGTCAGCTGGATTGCCAGCATCTATGCGTTGGCGTGGCCCGTTGGCGGGTTCGCTTTGCTCGTCCTTCTTTTCACTTTGTCGCCTTTGGTCGGAGTGGTGCGACCTTTGTGGTGACGCGTGCAGTCTTCATTGAGCTTGGGTGGTTGCTCATCTTTGTGTTTTGCTTTCACCTATCTTCATGGTAGCTCTTCGCGGCTTTGGCTGCGTTGGGATTGCTGTTTTAACGTTGGCGCCTGCACTGCACGCTGGCCATGCTCGCGTCTGTCAACCACCCATGGCCATGCTCGCGCCTGTCCACCACCCATGTGCGCCGCCACGCGAAGCGGTTGCTGCTCGTGGTCGCCTGCGTTCAGTTCTGTTTTGGTTGTCCAGGGCCAAGTCAGCCTCGGCCGCGTGATCATCGTCACGCCGACCTCTTGCATTCTGCTGTACTGTCGCTTCTGTGGTTCGTGCCCGTTGCAATGCCGGTGGCGCCGCTTTGTCGCGCAGCTCCCTGCGTGTATACGCCGCCACCAAATTTGCTGGTCTGGCACCCTTGCAGTTCTTTTTCGTTGCCTCTTGAGGCTTTAATTCGCACCAGACTGCTGGTTGCGCTTCAAACTTCCTGCGTCGAGCTTTCGCTCCGTGAGTTCTTTGGCCGCTGCATTTTGGCTTTCCAGCGTTTCTGTTTTTCCACCAGCAATCTGCATGGCTGTGGCTGGATTATATCATCATGGCGCATTCGACGAAGTTCGTTCGCAATTGGCACCCCCACCTGCCGACGGCGCCTGAGGCTGCTCTGCGCCGCCGACTTAAAGTGTGCGTGTGTGTGTGTGTGTGTGTGTCCAGTCCGCGCGCGCTGCCTCTCCCCTGATTCTACGCCTCGCCGCCGCGCGCGTGGCCGCGACGCCAAGAATTGTGTGTGTGTGTGGGTGTGTCCCAGCTTTCTGGTGCACACCAGCGCCACCCCTTGCCAGGGCGAGTCCTGGGGACCCTGTGGCGGCCCTCGTCAGGATCGGCGCCGCTGGGCATATGGCGCCTACTCCCCAGGATAGCATAGCTTGAGAGTCCCTCTGCCTCATTTCCTTTTTACAGGGTGGCTTGGCCTGACTCATCCTGCCATCTTGTTGTCACAATTGTCTGAAAACCCAAGCCTTGAGGTCATGGCCTCGCCCACCTGGCCTGAGGTAGGCCCAGACATCTGTCCGCTGTGGTTGTCTGTCTGTCTGTTTGGAGGCGGCCACGAGGGGGTGATGACTGGTGGGGGTGGATATCATGACGGGGGCCATGATGCACCCAGATTTCATGCCCCCCTTCTTTTCTTTTTTCAAAACGTCCCTTGGCCCCCCCTCGTCCCCGCACAAGCCTCGGGCCATGATTTGCACCCCCCGCTCCTTGCACGCCCCCCTCTTGGACGCCCCCGATATGTGTTTGTCCCCAAGAGTTCCCGTCTCTTTCCTGTCTTCCGCGTTTTTTTTTTTTTTTTTTTTTTTTTTTTTTTTTTTTTTTTTTTTTTTTTTTTTTTTTTTTTTTTTGTTTCTTTTTGTTGTTGTTTTTTTTTTTTTTGTTTTTTTTTTTTTGTTTTTTTGTTTTCTATGCCTCAAGTAGTTCCAGGCGTGTCCCGCCCGTAGCCCGACCGGCGCTGGCACCTGGCACCTGCTTCGACTCGCTTGCGCCCCCTGGCTCAGCAAAACGTTTGTCCCCAGGAGTGGCAGCGGAACGGCGCGCACCACGGCCCGACGGTGCTTCTGGGGCCGCCGCTGCCGCCGCGGGCGTCGCGGGCGCCGCGCCCGGCTGCTCTGGCGAGGCGCAGCGGGGCGCCGCCATTGACGCCTGCGACGTGCGCCAGCAGCCGATCCCCGAGTGCTTGGCGAGCGCCCCGAGGAGTAGGAGAAGGAGGAGGAGGAGGAGGAGGAGGGAGGAGGAGGAGGAGGAGCAGGAGGAGCAGGAGGAGGAGGAGGAGGAGGAGGAGGAGGAGGAGGAGGAGGAGGAGGAGGAGGAGGAAAGAGAAGAGGAGAGGATCGAGGACCGAGTTTTTTTTGGGGGGGAGAGCGGAGCGGGGGGGGGTGGAGTGGGATAGGGGAGGGGGAGCACCAAGAAGAGGAAAAGGAGGAGGACGAGGAGAAGGAGAAGGGGGAGGAGGAGGTGGAGGAGGAGGAGGAGGAGGAGGTGGAGGAGGAGGAGGGGGAGCAGGAGGAGGAGGAGGAGGCGGAGGAGGAGGAGGAGGAGGAAGAAGATGATGATTCGGGACTGGCCAGCCTTTGGGCAACGTGGATGCGGGAGGATGCGAGGACGCTGGTGTGCGCCTGCTGCGGCGGTGAGGGGGTTAGGAAGAGGCAATGTGCCGGCTAGGCTCGCCCTCCTGTCTCTTTCCTCGCTCCCTCTTGTTTGCTCTCGCTCCCTCTCCTTCGCCCCCCGCTCACCCTGTCATACCCGTCCTGTCATGCTCATCTTCCCATCCTGTCATTCTCATTCCGCACATCCCTCTCTTCTTGCCCTTCTTCTTTGCTCCCGCTCCATAATCGTCAGCTCATCGTGACATGCCACGCCTTGATGAGACAGCGCCTCTGCAGCGTCCTCGGCGTAAAAACGCGGCTGCCACGGTGCCCGAGTGCGACGGCGACGCGCTGGAAGACGTCTTCCAAAAGGCCCAGCCAGTGGTGCTCAAGCGCTTCGCCTCCGAGTGGCCGCTCGCTGGCCAGTCTCTGGCGGCGGTGGTGTGCCCAGGAGAGGGCGAGGAGGATGCGGTCGTGGAGGTTGCAGGGCTCAAGCTACGTACCACTGCTGCCTCTTGGAGCTGGCTGGGGGGCTGAGGTGGCCCAGCAGTGGTTCTGGCCAGCAGAATGGGTCGAGAAAGGGGCCCCCTCGTAGCCACACGCCTGGACGCGGCTGGAGACCTCTTGTCAGTACCCCAGGAGGGGTTAGGGACCAATTATGAGCGGATTTGTCCTCGTTCCCTCTACAGGCCGATTTCTCGGGACCCATCCAGCGCAGACCTTCCGGCCGTTCCCAAGCTGCCTCCCCCCTCCTCTCCCCTTCCCCTCGCCATGGGGTAGAGGCGTAAGGGAAAGGGCGGCGGAGTTTTTTCACTGTTTTCGGGGGTTCCACCGCGCACCAACGGCTGCCGCCCTGCCCTCCCCTGGCCAGGGGGAGGATGTCCTGCGGCGATTGGATCCTGAGGTCTTCGCCGTTTTCGGCCTTCCTGGGCCCTCCCTTCCAGGGCACTGGTGCTGTCAGCGCAGATGACTCATGATCCGAAGGCCTGTCTTGGGGAAAAATGGTAACCAGCACTTGATCTGTTTTCCTCAGAACCCGTTGTCCGTCATGTCGATCCGTCCTCACAGGGGAGAGGAGAGGGAGAGGGGGGCGGACTTCAGTGAAGGGAGGTAAGGAAGGTGAGGGAGGAGGAGGAGGAGGAGGAGGAGGAGGAGGAGGAGGAGGAGGAGGAGGAGGAGGAGGAGGAGGAGGAGGAGAGGAGGGAGGGAGGAGGAGGAGGAGGAGGAGGAGGAGGAGGAGGAGGAGGAGGAGGAGGAGGAGGAGGAGGAGGAGGAGGAGGAGGAGGAGGAGGAGGAGGAGGAGGAGGAGGAGGAGGAGGGGGAGGGGGAGGGGGAGGAGGACAAGCTAGGTGCGCTCGCGTCATGTCTGACGTCCTACCCCTCCCTCCCATCCCTTACCATGGCGCAGATCCCTCTCTACTCGCACAGTCGGATGTCGAGCAGGGCAATGATCCCGAAAGGGTACGCGATGCATTGTAGAGCACGGCATGGCATGGCGTAGAAGAGCACCGCAAAGCGTAGTATCAACCTAGCATTGCATTGCATGCCGTGGCATGGCACGGGAAATGACGCCAGCGCTGCAGCGGGAGCACGAGTCGAAACGAGCGGAAGCGCGGAAATGAGGCAAGCGCTGCAGCGGGAGCACGATTTGGAACGAGCGGAAGCACGGAAATGAGGCCAGCGCTGCAGCGGGAGCACGATTCGGAACGAGCGGGGCCCGAAAGTGAGGCCGGCGCCTCAGCGAGAGCAGCATGTTGAAAAAATGCAAGCGAAAACCGAACTCCGGGGAAACCTGTGTGTAAAAAAACAGTACCCGGGGGGGGTCGAGCACTTTCAAACCCTTTTCAGGGGAAGAGGGAGAGTAGTATTCATATTGAGTAATTGTGGAGGAGCAGGAGGAGGAGGAGCAGGAGGAGCAGGAGGAGGGGGAGGAGGAGGAGGAGGAGGAGGAAGAGGAGGAGGTGGGGGAGGATGTGTGTCTGTGGACCACGCGTGGGCAAACATTGACCTAGGTGCTCGAGCAAAGCAGGCTATGTACCAAGGGGCGTGAGGAGCGCGATAATGTACCACTGGAATTCCTTGGAGGATGATGCAGGAGACCTGATGGAAATTCAAGGGGGTACTATATTTCGTCTCACGCGAACAGGAGGAGGAGATGGAGGAGGAGGAGGAGGAGGACAGCCCCAAGTATACCCACCAAAAACGGTGGTCAAAATCTTAGGTACAACACTTCGGACCCTCACGCTGTAGAAGCGGAATCAATACTCATAGCACCTATTGGAGCTTGTCACCTGGAGTACCACCGAGACTGCAGGAGGTTACGACACAATGGCACTCGAGCGGCTCTACGCGAAGCCAATCAGGAGTTTGAAGGTGTTGCAAGGCCAACTCCATATTTGTGTTGCTGATCCCATTGAAATAACATTCGCACCATGAGCGACTGTAGCGAAACGATCTCTAATCACGGGAAGTCGTTTAAAGTCCTCCAGGCTGTGAAGACATCGGGGTTGCCACATTCGCTGTAAGTTCTAAGAAGGAAGCCTGCAAGGAAGGTGAACAACAGGACGATCAGCTTGAAAATGGGCTCATACCCGATTCACTTAGACGCTTGCACCAACTTTGCAACCTGGATGGCGCGCTTGCGGAGGTAGCGATCGGTTGTGGTATCTGGACTGTGACGCTCGATGAGAGCGCTCATCTTCTGCCCCGTAACCTTCCTGTTGTCCGTGAGCGTCTGGACCACGTCGTTGAACGTTTTGTCGTTGAGCCTTCTCTTATCTTGTGGCCCAAGGAGGCTTCGAGCCACCTGATGTTGGCGTCGCTGATGCGGTTGCCAGGCGGGCTCGTGGGTCTTGGAGTGCGTTCCGATGGCGAGGGAGCTGTGCGTGCACCGCTGAACGGACGCCCAACTGCAGGTGGGTTGACTTGGACCGCAATTTCTGTCACTGTTCCTCGCTGTTGTAGCCGTGCTTCGTCGCCTTCTGCATCTTTTGCCTGGCGGTACTCGACGTAACCCGTTGAGAGAGGCCTGTCGCAAGGCCTGCGACCATCATTAAGATTCTCTGCGCGCATGCGGTAGTAGTCCGAGTCGTTCCTGAACCTTCGATCATCATCTCGGTGGTTATCTCGGTCCCTGTCCCAATTGCGCCGGTCACCGCGATCATCACGTCCACCACTGTCTCGCCCACGGTCTCCACTTTCGTAAGACTGGCGATCGTCACGGTAGCGACCATAACCTTTACCATCACCTTTCCCAATGGCGGCTGCCCTAGGCTAAGCTGGCGGGTGAGCCGGCGCGGGTGCGGAAGCAAAAGTTTGTCCGAAGCAGCTGCAGCCAATCTGATAATGCAGATGACAACGCAGAACACGGCGAAACCAAGATCTGAGGCCTCTGAGAACTGCTCTGGTAAAGCATGGGCTAACTTGCCCAACAAACACAGAGGGTCACCTTCCTTGGCTAGTTCTTGAAACTCTCCCATGAGACACCGTGCAAGCAATTTCTGCCCTGCCCCTTTGCTTCGAATACGAGTCAGACGGACGAGCAAGAGTGCGCGGAGAGAACCAAAGGGAACCTGAGCTGCATGAAGTCATTTGGGATATCGTTTTTAGCCTGCGCTCCAGATCTTCGCAACCACGGACGACTCACACGTTGCGGTAAGAGTCGCAAGCCGGGCCGCCAGACCAAAGCTTCGATGTCTGTCCATGCGTGCGCTGGGCAGGCTGAGGCCAAGGAGAACTCTGAATCGGATACGTAATCGTCGCCCACTTCTCTACACACTGTTCATTCTTCGAAAGTTCATTGTTTTTTTTGTGGGGGGGCCAAGATCCTTTCATTTCTAATTGTTCTCTCCTTCGCCTCTTCCTGGCCACTAGGGGACCAGGAGCAAGTAGAAACGAGCACGATTAGAAATGAGCACGATTAGAAATGAGCGACGTGTAATCGTCGCCCACTTCTCTAGACAATGGTGACATGGTGCACGAGAAAGAAGGAAAGCATCACCTACAAAGCGAAGACCTTGGGCCTAGCATGTCTGGTAGCCAGCCCGAAACTTCATCTCCAAAAGACGAACCCTCCGTTCAGATGCCCCCCCAGAACCATTGATGAGGCCATGCGGGAAATAGGCCCTCCAATTCCAATAGCGACGCCCTCCATTATCCAGACCAGGATTCCCAGTTCAACGAAACATAATTGCAGAGCCGCCCAGACAGCCCTTCGAAGCTCGACAATACATAATGAAATGGGTTGGCGGGCAGATGGCGGAAGACGACGACCGGGCCAAGCACGCATTGTCCTGCTGCATCAATCGACACCGAATAGATTCCCAACCATGATTCGACTTCGTACGCCTAGTACTCGAACGCTGCCTCGATCATGGACGTGCTACATGCCTCATAAGCTTGATCTGCGTCGCACACCACTACAGAAAACCATGGTTTCTGATTGCCACAGCATGCGCACGCACATGCAGACGACTCCCGTCGGAGTGATCGCACAGATTGCCGAATTGATGATGCGATGTCTGCTGGACGCCACACCTTACAAGATCCCCCTGTTGTCATGAGTAGACCTTGCAACGCTTTTCCGATCGCCCTCCACCTGTGACGCCACGGACCACGCACATGGGAGACGATGCGACGGAGGCATGCGTGTCCTGTTTTTACACAAGTGTGCAAGCCCGAGGAATTGCATGTGGCCTTTATCAGTGGATACATGCACGGGCGACCTGTGCATGCGTTGCATCCCTGCCCGGAGCTGGGGCGGGATGCCCAATATACTGATAGCCAGGGTCAGAGCATGGCAGAGCTGACGTTGCGATATGAATTCCAGCGCTAGACGGGACGGCCAAGAAGACGCTAAGACCTTCGTACCCTATGATGCGGCTGCTGGGCACCGGTCGCGCCACATTCTGCACACAGTTATGCAAGCTTCTCCGATGGCCTTCTCGGCGAACGCTGTGGAAAAACTGATCGGCCAGGTGTGCAACGGAGGGACGTTTAGACAACGTAGTAGTCGTTCCACTGAGCGTAGACCCCGACGCTGACGCTGGACACCAGAGACCGTACTGACCATGCCTGCTAACCACTACGTACATGCAGCACGGCATTGGAAAGACCAGGAAGTTGGCCACCAGATGACAGCACCCATAGAACAGGACCACAACACGATAAGATGTACATGTGCTTTGGTAAATCTGTGCAAAGGGGCACATGCGTCCTGTTTTACCATATTCGTGGCGAAGATGATGTAAGTACTGTTGTGATTAAGTAGAACGCGTCCAGTCAGTGTAGACAGAATTGTCTCGATCCAGCATTCGACGCTCTAACTTTTTGCCATTTCCAAAGTCAAGGGTAATTCCATACTGAGAAAACTATGCGTGTGTGCGTGATAAGCGAATCTGACGAACACATGGGAGGAACAGATGGCGTACGTTGAGAAGGATATGGGCGATGTCTTGGCTTTGACGCTTGCCCGTGGGCGTTGATCTGTGGATACGTTACCATGAGGGCTCAACACACGTATGAGATACGCATCCATCGCCAATGCGCGTGATTCAGACGGCGTCCTATACACCCTGCATAAGCATACTGCTGACCGCGACTCTTGGCGCAGCTGTCGAAAACGAACCCGATGCCCGTGGTTAGCTTTAGAACGAGCAGCCCCTACAAGATATTCAAGAAGACGTTGGCTCAGACCGAAAGGAGACGGTTGGCGATGCAACTTTGCCTTTCCGATGTAGTACATGCGTTTGGTGAACAACACGTACACCATTGCACATTCCGTAGGAGATAAAGGCTCACATGCGGCATAGATGATCCCGGGCTCCGCGCCCACGGCCCCCCCCCAGATGGTATGGTCCCAGGATTCCTCGGGCCCCCCCCCCCGAGATGGTATGGTCCCAGAGACGACGACGACGACGACGACGACGACGACGGCGACGACTATGACGACGGCGACGACGACGACGACCACGACGACGACGACGGCTGCGGCGGCGACGACGCCGGCGGCGGCGGCGGCGACGACGACGATGACGACGATGACGACGGCGACGACGACGATGACGACGACGACGACGACGACGACGACGACGACGTTGAGGACGACGAGGACGACGAGGACGACGACGACGACGACCTCTGAACCACGACGACGACCTCTGAACCACCACAGCACCACACCACATCCACAGGTGGGGGGAGGGGGGCACCGCAGCGCAGCACGACGCCACGCCCACCTCTGAACCACCACAGCACCACACCACATCCACAGGGGGGGGAGGGGGGCACCGCAGCGCAGCACCACGCCACGCCCACAGGGGGGGGCGGGGGGGACCATCGCGTGGGGGGGGGGCCCACTGGCATCAGCATTGGGGGGGGGGGGCCCAAGCCCTGGACCATAGATGGACGGCGAGGCGCGAAACGCTGGAGCGGTGTAGCTTTCGCAGATAGCGGCAACCATGCTGGATTCATAGTGCGTATACGTGCTCTGGCCCAGGGTTCGTTTGGAGATTCGCGAAGTATTGCAATGCCAGGGTGCCACCACATTTGCAAGCATTAAGCGGTGTGCCGAACAGCAACGACGATGGGTAGCAACAGACTCAATCAATAACTCGTGCAGAACTTCAATATTCATTTTTCGAAACTTCGTAGTCGGGACCGCCCAGTGACAGAGACCTGTAGACCACAACGTTGCGCACAACTGTGAAGATGACTGCGGGGGTGTAACACGACAACTAACACATACTTCCAGAATGCGTTGCCAACATGCTGGCTCAAGTTGCGAAGCTCGTGCCGCCGTGGTCTCTATGAACTCGTCTGCAATAACCGTGAAACGCTCCTCTGTGGAATAGAACTCAAGAGGTTGACTCGAGATTAAATCCATCGCCCGAAGTGTGTAAACTCCCTGAGGACCAGGAGGAAGACCCGAATGACAATTTGATTGAAGGATATGTATAATATCCTGCGCACAGATCCGTTAATGATATTGTTCAGTGATGAGCTGGTTCTATCCGGTGCGATCTAGCGAGGATGTGTGTCTTTGGAGCGATGCGACCCGCTCACAAACCTGCTTGCCAGGAACACCTACAAAGGCGCCATCAATTTCACTGCGAGCGCGCGTAGGCAAACATTGATCTAGGTGCTCGAGCAAAGCAGGCTACGTACCAATAGGCGTGAGGAACGTGAACATGTACCTCTGGAATTCCTCGGAAGATGCTGCAGGAGACCTGATAGGAATTCAAGGGGGTACCATCTTTCGTCTTATCCGAACAGGTGGAGGTGGAGGAGGAGGAGGAGGAGGAGGAGAAGGAGGAGGAGGAGGAGGAGGAGGAGGAGGAGGAGGCGGAGGCGGAGGCGGAGGCGGAGGCGGAGGGAGGCGGAGGAGGCGGAGGAGGTGGAGTAGGAGAAGGAGAAGGAGGAGGAGGCGGAGGAGGAAGAGGAGGACGAGAAGGAGGAGGAAGCGAAGGAGGAGAAGGAGGAGGCGAAGGAGGAGGAGGAGGAGGAGAAGGGGAGGCGGAGGAGGAGGAGGAGGAACAGGAGGAGAGGAGGTGGAGGAGGCGGAGGTGGATGATGACGATGATGCTGATGATGATGATGATGATGATGATGATGATGATGATGATGATGATGGTGATGATGGTGATGATGATGATGCTGATTATTACGATGCTGATGAAATTGATTATGATTCTGATGATGTTGATGATGATGACGGTGATATGGTGATGATTCTGATGACGATGATGATGATGACGATGCTAATGGCGATGATGATGCTGATGCTGATGATGGTGATGATGATGCTGATGCTGATGCTGCTGCTGCTGATGATGACGACAATGATGATGATGATGAGGAGGACACATAATTTGAAGAAGAAGAGGAGGAGGAAGAGGAGGAGGAGGAGGAGGAGGAGGAGGAGGAGGAGGAGAGCAAGAGGGAGTGCCCACGGGCATGGTGGCCGCTGAGGGTCAGGCGCCGTATGTAACGTGCCTCAGTTGGACGGCGTATTGCGACAGAGGTCGCCGAGGCGAGTGATGGCAGCCTGGGGCTTTCTGGGAGCTGGGCCCGCAGATCGGGCTCCCAGTGCCTCAGGGGCTGCGAGAAGGACCCCCAGATCCGACGTTGCAAAGCAGATGCGACATCGTGAAACATCACGACGGGAGCCCCACACCCCATCTCTGCGAGGGTCCCGGGAGCCGAAATTGGCCGAAAACGCCCAGCGTGAAAGAATGGCGACGCCCGAATCCCAGGGTAGCGTGCTCGCCTGCTGCAGGAGTGGTTTATGACGCGTTCTGCGTCTTGCCCCCGGACGCCCCCCCCCCCACACCAGCGCGGCGATACGGTCAGGAACGTTGGCTCAGCGTGTCGCGCCGCCCACGTCCCGGTCCCTGGTCGTCACCGTCTCGAGCCTTTTCCAGCCTCCAGCCCCGCCGAGCGGAGCAACACGCCATCTGGTCGCAAGGCATAGCGTGTCGCCAGGACCGCCGCCGCGACACGCCGTGCAGGAGTTCCTGGCCGCAAGCTCGCGCGTCGCGCGTCGCGGTCTGGGCCTCGGAGCCGCCACTCTCCAGGGCAGAGCGGCGCGAGGGCGCGCAGTCGACTGCGCGCTTCGGGGCGCGGCCTGCAAAGTGAGGCGGCCCGTGGTGCACAGTTCCAGACAGGCTGGCGTCGCGAGACAACCACGCAACCACGACGCAGGGTTATTGGCAGTGTTCAGCCTCGGTGGGCCCCTTGGCTGGGCCCTGGGGGCCGTCAAAGACCGGCTCGGGATGACAGCTGGCCCCCGGGGAAAGGGTCGGTCGGGTCTTCCGGGGTCCCCGTATGGGAAAAGATCAAGACATCGGATGTCTGGGCTCCTGCCCGAGCCAGGAGAGCGCATGCGCCGATCCTGGGCTCAGAATCGGCCTGGCCGGGATCGGTGCTGCTGTCCAGTTGCCTCCCTGCTGGGTCTGAGCATGCCTGGGTCCGCGGGCAGAGGTGCAGGCCGCGTGCCCGGGCGACTGCCACTTCCGGGGCTACGCTGGCGTCCTCGAGCGCGCCCCGCTCTCGTCATTGCCCGCGCTCGCCGCACGCGCTTCCGGGTCGCTGTACCTGGTGCGCAGGAGGCCCTCGTTGCGATCACTGTCCCGACCCTCGGCCCCTCCCTCGGGTGTTGCCACAGGGGATGCTTGCCCGAGGCGCCGAAGCTACCCGTACACCACCACCGTGCCCGGCCAGTCTCATGCTGGGCCGTGGCACGGTGCATGCTCCTGTGTGGGCGAGGCCAGGATGGTGTTATGCGGCCCACGATTACCCTGGCCAGGCACGGTGGTGTTGTACAGGCGCCCTCTGCGGACCCCCTCAGGCAGCACCCGATCCTCCCTCGAGGGGAGCGGTGTCCGCTGGGCGCTGGCTGGAACCTCGTCGACCTCCACCATACTCAGCCACGCGCAGAGGGGATGTGCGGGAGGAGGGGAGGCTTCTCTGAGGCACCCCTGCTTCTTAGAAGGCGCGGGCCCTCTCTCTGTAGATGTAGGGCAGGCGCCTTCTAAGAAACAGCCTCTTTCTAAGAAGCCTTCCCGCCTCCCCCTACCCCCTGTTGCTCGCCGCCAACGTACCGTGGATGCCGTGGCTGGTACCTTGGGGCGGCGCGCCGATTTCGGTGGGGCGTGGGGCCTCTCGGGTTGGCCGCCTGCCCTCGTGCTCCCTGCCTTCGCCTCTCCTGAACATCGCCGGCGTCGGCCGTGTTTGTCCCGCGCGGTGGTCGACGGAGGAAAACGGGGTCGACTGCGCGCACATTGGCGCGTGAGCTTCCCGCGTAAGGCCGCGCCCTCTTCTCCATGCGGTGTGCCACGCTGGCGGCCCGCGGACTCCGCGGCGTGAGGTCGCTATGCCTTCATGCGCAAGGCCAGGTGTTTTCCTCGCTCCAGTGGACAATGGGAGGGGGAGAGGGGGACTGGGCTCTTGGGTGCAGCCACTGGCCCCGCAGGTGCAATGCCCCATCTGGGCGCGGGGGAACCCCGCGGCTTGCCCCTTGAAGCACTTGCTGCCGCGCGTTCGCTCGAGCTACTTCTCCCTCTCCGCAGGCAGGCGGGGAGGAGGCTCCCGTCGGCTGGAGTCGGTGAACCTGTGGGTCTCGGTGGGGACGACGCACTCGAACCTGCACTACGACTCCGAACATGGTCTCCTGGTCGTTCTGCGCGGCACGAAGCGCGTCGAGCTCTTCGAGCCCCAGTGGGCGCCCTCCCTGGGCGCGTTCCCGGTCAGCGACCCGCTGCGGGCGCACCACGCCACGGCAGCACAGGGATGCCTCGCGGCGCGGCTGGGCTGCGCGCAGCAGGGCGCCTGCGGCCTCCCTGGCTCGAGCCCGTGCCCGAGCCCGCGGGTGCACGCGGCGCTGGGCCACCAGGCGGTCCTCTCTGTGGGCGACGCTCTGTTCATCCCGGAGGGGTGGTGGCACCACGTCCACAGCACTGGCACGCGGGACCCCTCGGCGGGCGGCCGGCCCGTGGCGCTCGCCGCGAACTTCTGGTGGCGGGGGCACGAGCGGGAGCCCGAGAGCGCGCAGCCGTACGTCCTGCGCCGCATCCTGAGCGAGATGCTGATGAGGCGCACGGGCGCTCCCAGCTCGGAGGACCCGATCTCTCACCCACCCCTTCTGCTCGTCCTTGCCCTCGCTCTCGTCCCCATCCCCATCCCCATCCCCACCCCCGTCCTCGTCTTTTCCCTCTCCCCTCCCTCTCCTTTCGCCCTTCCTCCTCTTCGCCCTCCCTGCCAGCGATGTAAGGCGTCTCGTCCATGACAGTCGTTAGCCCGCTCAGTCAGGCCAGCCTGAACGGTCTGCACACCTCGGTGACTCATGATGGGATCGGCGTTGGGCTGGCCGCATGGCTCGAACTCGCGCCTTATAATTCCCTGGATCATCCCCGTCCTCATCCTCGCCCGCATCCTTACTCTTTTACCCACCCCGACTGGGGAATCAGGAGGGAGGCCCTAGGCAGGCCCGAGGCTCTTGGAGGCCGTCGGGGTCTGGGGAGGCGTCTCGGGGGCCTCTCAGAGAAGGACTTGTAAGGCCTCTTGGCACTCTTTTGCCTCTCTGCTGTGCCCTCCGCTTTCTCCTCATCCTCCTTTGCCGCCGGTCCCTGCGATTCCGTTCCTCTTCCGCCCTCCCCCCTCCGTGCGCGGTGTTGCCCGATCTTTGGTCCCTCTTCGCTTCGTCCCCCTTCCCTTCTCGCCCGCCCTTCTCCGCCATCTCTCTTTCCATCCCTTTCTCTTCTTCTCTTCTTCCTTT